AAACTTGGCTGTGTCGAAACAGGCAAGGTGAAAGATCCCACCACCGGCGAGATCTTCGACGAGAGTGAGATGAAAAAGGTTTACATTATGTAGTTGTGGAGGTATCCAGGATGTCGAGGTTGCCGCATGTTTTCATATTCTCTCCTGATTTGTGTATTATTATCAGAAGGCACTGGAGAGGCGAAGAATGAGAACAAAATTCTCAACAGCCTAGTCGCTATCGTCACTATCGGACGAGTCCCTTGACCTTTTCTTATTCTTTCCCTTCTTGTCCAACCTAGCAGCCTGTGGATTCTTCGGCGGGGCAACTTGATCTTCTTGCCTGACCTCAAAGACATACATTCTCGCCTCACGGTCTTCTCCCCTCCACCCCCCTCTTCCCCCATGCTTTCCTTCGATCTCGCCGACGGTTCGAGCGTGGGAGTATCCCTGGTAAGAGCTCCACGGAAATCTAAAACTCGTGACCACCCGCAAACCAGCGTGCCGTGCAAGATCCTTGATATTCCATAGGGTGTAAGGCTCGCCTTCAAACATGGTCACTAAAATTTGTCCTGGGTCGGTCCTGTATCTGACTCGCCGTCCATGGGCGGGAATATCCTGATCATCCTGCTCGCCCGAGTCTGACTCACTGTCTTCACTTGAGCTCCAGGTGCCATCCCCCTCGCCTTCATCATCGCCGTTCAAGTCTTGCGGACGGGCCGACAACAGTGGCACGCATGCCTTGAAAAAGGCGACAAGTAATTCCTGGTTTGAGCGAACCTGTCGATTCACGTCCGTTGATAGGCCACCGACGTGTGGGAAGTTGAAACATATGATGTCCCAAGGACCGCCTGTAGTGGTTGCTGGCTCGATCTTCTGCCTGTTTTCCTGCCAAGCAGGACGTTTGCGCTCGCGACGTGAAAAGCCTCTGCGGACATCCTTCCCACCTCCGGCGGAAGATCCGAGTTTTCGCGCATCAACTGCGAAGAGTACGTTTGGACCGCAAGGCTTGCAGTCTTGCTTTTTTTCAGACTGCTCTTCGCCTTTCTTCTTTTCTTGCGTGCTTTCCTTCTCTGTCTCGGATCCATGAGGATCATTCTGTTTTTCCTTATTAGAGAACGAGCTAAGAAGATCCTCGACATGCTGTTTAGCTTGTGGATATTTGCTGTATAGCACCTCTTCTGAGTCGTAGCATGTGGCCAGGATATTCCTGCAACGGTGGTGCACTGCTAGAGAGCGAGCAAATGAGAAATCTCCTAGTAAACATTTCATCATCAGACTATTTGAAATCCAGAAACTCCGGTACCTGAAGCGCAAGACACCAGGGCTCAGCCGAGCCAGCATTTGTACACGAAAGGAAAAGCAACGAATAACTTCAGGTCGCGTCAATGTCAATACAGATCGCTAGTATGCCATAACTTTAACAAAGCCAACAGGATGAGTGGCCTCGCATATTAACACATGCGGAAACATCGACGCTCGCCTGACTCTGTAGGGACAAGCACATGAGACAGAGGGAAATAGGGAGAACACCACTGACTGAAGGGCTCTGGACGCTCCACGTATTCGAGAAAGAAAATCATCATATGAAGACGTAAATCTTGAAAAGCAGTAGCCAAGTATGAAGAAGAGGAAGCGCTCACCCTCACCGACAAGTAGGATACGATCTCTCCGTCCGAATGGGACAATAGGCCGTCGATGTTGGGCCGGATTCTTTTTCTTCTGCTCCGCTGTACCATAGGTGCTAATGCCACTCTTCTGGGTCTTGGATGTCGAAGATGGCGGCGAGGACGTAGATAATCTCGAAAACATGTGCATTTTCCGGGGTCCTCTGAAGCCAGGCCCATCACCGCGCTGGGGTCCTTTGGCTCGGGCTTTTTTCGATCTGGGCATGTCTCTAAGATATAAACCCGAGTCCTTCAAGTCCTGTCGTCTTCAGGATGGATCTAAACAAAGATAGAATTGAGAACTGGAACGGTTCTCTGACTAACTGGATAACTGGCCCCTCTAGCGACTACTTCCCCATTAAGGTAGGACTTATGCCCGCAAAAAAGGAAAGAAGAAATATTAGTTCCAACCCTGCGCGCGGGCCAATCCATTCCTCGAGACCAACGGATTTCTTGCATTAATTCATCAGGTACGAAACAGAGAATTAACTGACCTGCACATTTCGTAGGTTACAGTTTTGTTATATCCTAGATTGATGTCTATTCGTATTTTTAACTCCCTAGCAATTTCGACAAAGAACGGACCATGCAATCCAAACCCGCTCTATAACCATATTAAAAAGAAGTACAAGGGTTGTTATATACATCACACTGTAAAATAAAAGGAAAATCCACTGTCTTCAACATCTAATCTCTCTGCAGTCTCAACGTCGCGAAAAATGGCATGCATATGAGCAGGTACTATCAATTAAGACGGGGAGGGTGAAATGAAAGCCGTGACCAAAACTTCGTGATTTGGAACAAAAATCTCAACAGAAAGAGGAGACCTTCCCATCAAACCGAATACGATGAGGGCAAGGCGACGTACCTAGGAAGCACATCGATCCACAAAGGCCAAAAGCAACAACGAATTGACCGGAATGCGGACAACTACGTCTGAAGGGGAGTATAGGTACATATCACGTTGATGTTAGGGGCGAGACCGCACTCTTTTCGGGGAGCTGATTCGATCTGATAACAAGGGCGTCCGGCGTCCATGATAAGGCGCACGTCGACTGCTCGCTAAACCGTGCCTTCATGGTGGTGTGATTCAGGAGCGCAGAGAGTCTCTCATGCTCTGGCTGCTAGCACTGACGGGGGGGTTCGACATTGGCAGCACACCAGTCTTTGGCTTGGCACTTTGCTTGATCTTGGCAACGGCGTAAACAATTCCACTGACGAAACCGACAACAATGGCAGAAACGCTGGGGAAAGTGACGGGGGCATCGAAGAAGATCAAGCCGGACAGTGCGATGGGCAACTTGTTCAGAGCGCCGACCATGGAATAGGTTGTCGACGAGGTCACACGGACACACCAAGCGGAGGTATAGGAGATGAACACGGACGAGAGACCCGAGAGAATCATTGCAAATAAGATGCCGCTGCGATCGGCCGGGGGAAAATTGCGCGCGATGTTTGCCGACGACCAGTCCTCCATCAAGAAGGTGAGAACCAGAAGCACAGGGATTGACAGAAGATTGTTGTAGAACATGGCTAAATGAGGTAGAAGGTTAGGCGCGAGCTCCAAGGTTTTGTGGCACAGACATAAGAAGCAAGAAGGGACATACTGTCAAAATCCTTGAAGTTAGTCAGCTTGATTCGCTTGCGCATTCCCAGGACGTAGGACGAAGTGCAGAGACAGTTGATCAACATCCAGATATAACCAGCATTGAGAGTCGACACCTTGGCAGTAGCGTCTCCACTACTTTCAACTGCATGCTTGATATCGGCCCACGCGGCGATGATGGAACTGAGGACCATGAGTCCAAAGGAGAAGAGGGTCATGCCTGTCACCGAACCGCCAAACCAAAGCACCTCTCCGTAGGCGATCAAGATGATGGTCAGATTCTTGAAGATAGTGTACACAGGGATCGACAAATATTGCAGTGCCTTGGAGCCCGTGTAGATCATGCCAATCAGAAGCAGAGTGATGGGAAACCCTGGCGAGAAAGGAGACTTGTCAGATTGCTTTGCTTGACGATACCCACCGACGAAAATGGGATGCTTACACTTCTTGGCCTCATCCGAATTGAAGTCGCGATATGTAATCAGATTGCTAGTCTTGCATGTTTGAATCGCCACAATACAGACAATAGACTGGAGTGAAACGACGTGGTCAGCTCAAGCTTGGTGACATCTCCGGCAAAACCTGACCAACTTACCTGTACGCAAAGGAGGAAGAAATTGAGATTGAAATCCGTGCCGGAAAGGACATATTTGTTCATGACAGTCATCAAAATAGACGAACCGCAATAAGACAGCACAGGCAGGATGGGATTGTTGGCAAGCTGCGCAGCTGGAGGACCTCTGGGTTGAACAGCAGGGGGGGGCGCCTCGAAATTCTTATTGCCGTGATCTAACTTATCCATCTCGACGGTATACTCATTCGTTTTCTTGTCGTCCGCCATGGTGTGAGACTGAGAATCGATTCGAAGAGCGAGGGAACAAGAAGGAAATATCCAGACGAAATGGGAGGAACGAAGGGGAGAATGCTTCAGTGGCACAAACAATTGCCGATGAGTCGGATCCGTGAGGGAAAAAAGGTAAGATGGACACAAAATGAATGTGAAGAAGCAATGAATGATAAGACAATATATTATATAGGGAAAAAGAGCCTTGCTTCCTTGTTCACTTCCTTATGTTCCTCCTATATGAATGAGGTATGTAAGGAAAGGGGGGTTGGTGGGAAATAAGCAGAAGTTCTGATAAGATGAGAATGGTGCATGGAAGAATTATAGTTAATGAATCTTATGTTATTATTGAGACTACAGAGGTATCTGTTGCTATTTTTTACTATTATGAATTAATGAAGAAAACCTCTGCCTGACGATCCAGGCCGCCGCCCCGGAAGCGGCACCCAGGACAAGGTACCTTGGATACGTACAGGTAATGTACCTGATAATTACATACAACACGAATTACAGAGTGTCCAATACCTAAGATAGGTACCTTAACCATCATTGATATACAAAGACCTTAACCTTGGATAGAAGTACTGGAGCACTCTTGAGATTGCTGACAAGGTGCATGTTCCACCACTGATGGACGAGGTTAATTTCGATGATAGGGTTTAAGGTGAAGTTTTATGTTGAGATTTTTCTCTTATCTGGGCAGTAGAGCTCGACCTCCGTATTGATCGTTATGGTTTTATCTCCGCTGTGTCTTTTTAACTTTACAATGACAATTGTCTGCTTTTATCAACCCACCCCTTTGGGTTCCTAAGACCTTTCGAACTATGAATTCATCTGTCTCCTGAGCGTCTTCTTCTAGAACGTCATTTGACTAATAGGTTTAGAGAACAGACCTGCCAGCGCCATGAATCAGGATTCAGACCAGAAGCACCACCCCGCTCGAGATCTAGACGATGATAATGACGACGATTCCCTGCTCGAAGCCCTCGAGAACGAAGATGACTCTGTCTACCGTGCGCATCGCATCGAACAACTCAATGCCGAGTTTTCTGCCCTCAAAACCAACCGATCCTTTCTCCGCGGTCCAGCAACCACTCTCGTTGAAGAAGGCCTCTACCCTACTCTGGAAGACGATCAAGCCGTGCTAGACTTCTCAACGCGGACCCATCGTTGTGTCATCCATTTTGCCCATCCGGATTTCGCCCGCTGCGGGGTCATGGATGAGCATATCCGGGCGTTGGCAACACGGCACCATGAGGTGCGCTTCGCGCGCGTCGATGTGCGCAATACCCCCTTTGTGGTGGACAAACTGAGCATACGTGTCCTTCCTTGTGTAATTGGGTTCAAGGACGGAATTGGTGTCGAGCGTGTGGTGGGATTCGAAGGCCTTGGAGCCGGGGGGCGGGACGGGGCTGACAGCTTTAATATCGCGACTCTAGAAAAGCGCCTACTTTGGAAAGGGATTCTGGCGCAGACGAAGTTCAAAAATAGCGAGGATGATTCTGATATATCTGAGGGTGGCAGTGGCGACGAAGGGTCCAGCAGAAGACGGCCAGGTACTGGGCGACGGACTATTCGAAGCGGAAGTGGACGACACCATGGAGGCGATAATGACGATGACGACGACTGGGACTGAGATGGCAGTATTCGTCGTTAAGCTCTTTTCCGCAACGGCATGACCAAGTTGTCCTGTCTCACCCATGGAGAACAGCCATAGCTGTGGTTTGCAAACCATAGTCTGGTGTGCAAATGAGCAAATGATCATAAACATCTCAAGTGTCCAAGGCATCGTGCAATTAGACTAATACTGCCAACCATAAGCATGTTTGGGTGCCTTGTATAGTGAGACTCAAGGGGAAAATGAAAAAAATGGTGTCTTCCCCGCCCTCAGGCAATGAGAAGTCAGGGTTTTGCCATGTCAAACACATAATTGAAGACAGCAAGGCCGGAAAGGCCATTAAGAAGCATATGAAACTTCTTTCTTTTACGACCACGCGTGAAGAGAATTGCACTTAAGGAAAGAGTAGGAGGACACTCCAATCACGAGAGACAAGCGGAAGGTCAATTGGCTAATATTGAACCTAAACTGCATAATCATTGAGTGGTAAAGTTACAGGCAATGTGGCTCAAGGCAAATGAGAAACAAGACCATCTTCGGAAAAAGGAAATCGAATGCTCCATGAAAGTATGGAAATGCCGTATGAATAACAGAAATAACAAGGGAAATTTATACAAGTGGTTCAAACCAGTCACACCACGTCTACCTACTCGCTAGAGGAAGCTGTTATTCTTCAACAAGTAAAGTGCACGAGAGAAAGGAAATAGAAAGCAGCCGCGTAGAGTTGACACAATGGTGCTCGTAAGAGAAAGAAGGGAAAAGCTCAGGAAAGCAGGCTTAGATGGCTATGTTCTTCATTTCCCCCAAGACCTCAGCTTCCGAGACCGCGGTTGTCCCTTGGTTAGACTCACGTCTCTGCACCTTTTCTGGTTTGGGTGACTTCTGCTCGTCATTCTTGTCCGTGAGGTCCTGATTTTCCTTCCCAGAGATTTGGGGTGTAACAACCTCCATCAGATCATCGGTTTCAGGTTCCTTTCTATTTCCCTTGGAAGCATCCTCGGGCATCTCAACTTCAGCGCTTGTAATCACGGGACTCGTTGCTTCTTCTGTGACTCGAGCTAGAGGACTCGAAACGCCGAACTGCGTCTTAGGGCTCTGAGTAGAACCGCGGTTGGGAAACCGGTGAGGAGACCGGCCTCTTTCTTCACTAGGTGTTGGGCTTCCATACGGAGATTCTTTCCCGGGCCGGCTGTTCGTGTTGAGTCCCAGTCCATTTGGCGCCTTGCGTCGAGGGGCTCTTCTGCCATATTTCTGGTCTGTCCTCCAACGCAGAATCTCCAAATACGGCGGCTCAACATTCTGACCCTTAAATTCCAACAATTTAAGCTCATTCGTCTCCTCATCTACGTTGACTTTACCACTGCAAATATCATCCGCGACCACAGCAAGGAAAGCAGCCCAAGAGCGAGCGACAACGTATTTGCAGTCGTAGTCACGACCGAAAATGATGACCTGACCCCATTTCCCAGCGGGGCCAGGGGCCAAGTCTATGGCAATATTGTTTCCACCCCAATCACGAGCAAGAGGGATCCAGGCAGGGTGCGCGTATGCCTTCTGTACAGCGCCTGGAGGCTGTGAGTCCTGGCGGTCCAGAAGGTCCTGTCTCCAGAGAGGATTCGGGCCTTGCGGAGGAGGCGCCGCAGAGGAAGAGCTTGCTGTGGCTTTCGGCGGAGGATTCATCATGCTGGAGTTGCTCAGAAACTCTTCATTGACGGTTCTCCAGTTCTTCCATTCTTGAACGATTTCCTCGCAGTCTAGAAGCATACATCCGAAGATAACGCCTGTGGGGAGGCCAGGGCGCTCCTGACCGTCGTGGATCATGAGGGACTCCCGCACCTCCAACGGCAGGCTGCAATCCAATTCATGCTCCAACTCATTTATATCGTTTTGAGTGCACCCCTCGCAAAGATTATCGTGTAGCTCTTCGTAATTATTCTCTAGCCATCGCTCAATTTTCCGCCATGAATGGGCCACCGGGGGCGGAGGCGGAGCTCCGTCATGGAAGCTTTGCATCTGAATCTCCGGGACACTATCTGCGCCACGTTCAGTTGATCGCCGCTTCTGGGAAGAAAGCGACCTCAATCCGGGGGAATAGGGACGGTTAGGAGAACCAACTCCGGTAGGGGAACCAGTCCACCCGTTAGAGTTGGAACTTGTAGACCCTTTCGGTTGATCATCCTCAAATGTATCAGTCAGATCCGGTCGAGACTCAATGGCGCTCGTCGCAATAGATGTGAGGGGCTCATGGCGGCTTTGACTCAAAGGTACATGTCTTCCGGTCCGATACGGGGAGTCGTGGGACGCATGTCGATCATAGGAGGTCATCGTATGCCAAAAGGAGCGCCATGCTGAACCGAAGCTGCTCGAATAAGATCAGACAATTCGCTCACTCTCTTTGACTTCGGACGTATTATGTAGAAATGAGGAAGGGATATCTTCCTTTCTCGATTCCTGAGGGAATTTCAGAGAAGTGCGAAGTAGGACTTACGCGTTCGACATCTTGGGAACTTCCACAGCACTAAGACCAACCCGAGGCGAACAAAATCCAGAAAGTTTGGGATACTCAAGTGTACCGAATGTGGGTCATTTATTACTGACTGTTGGAGGTCAGATAGGAGAGAGGTGATTTGGGACGGAGATGACAGAGAAGAAAGGGCGAAACGACCAAGGACTTTTCCCCCCCTCGAGCAAGGGGAAGCGGAGGGGATGCGGTAGAAGGCGCTTGATCCTTTAACTTTCCTGATGAAATAGGGACGGATAGGATGGGAAGTATGGAGTGGTATGGGCTGTGTGGATGATAAGGAGAAGGGAATATCAACAAGAAGGAGGAACCAGAAGGAAGTATATGGATTCCAGGCKAAGAGAGGTGATGCTGATGATTAGTACGGAGTAGTCGATCGACCTTTATGGACTTGGACAATTGAAGACAAGCCAGAACGCAGAAAGCGGTAGGTATCCTTCACCCAGAAGCAGACGAACCCATGCGTGCGCCAACAGTTATTTTCAAAGCCCAATAACAGAGGTAGCGATTTTAACGATCTGAACAGGAGATATGTAGATATTATTATCGCTAGGAGATAGGCAACATCTAGTCTCCCAATCTCTCAGTAATTATGGTTGTGCGGAGAAACACCGCGGTGAGTACGTATCCATAAGTTTTCCTCCGCCGTTTTCAACACTTGTTCGTCTCTTGGATCATTTGTATGTCTACTTTTTCTGCTCTTTAATCCCTCTTTGGGACCCAGGTTTAGCGCGTTCATGTGTGCGTATTTGGACTGCGGATATTTGGACGAGCCGATCATCCATGATTCGATCATTCATTCGCCTTCAGCCCCTGGGACTTGTGGAAACTCTCATTTCCTGTTAGGTAGAGTTGACTGACCCATATACATAACTAATGGTTAACTACTAATATAGGGAGTAGAATGATAGGTTCATAGAGAATTTAAAGGTTGGTTAGTTACGCACTATGCACAGGACTGACACAAATAATCTAGATAATCCGTATGCCACTGGCAACAAACAGCCGAAAACGTCGACTGACGCCATTCTGGATGGACCTGCATTCTCCTACTCCCAACGCCTTCCGCTAATAGAACAGTTAGATCAACACTCTCAATTGCGGCGATAAATATCGGGATCTTGTGGTTATTTACGCCGGCTGGAGATGGCGTAGGAAATAGGACGTGAACTGTCAAGAGTTTAAGACCCGCATCTCTTGATCCATTGTAGTCTAACCTAAGTTACAGAGAACCGTTTCTTAAGCCGGTGGCGTTTTAGCGAAATAATCATCGACAGGCAATTTTAAATGTGAAGAGATTTTGCTATCTATGCAGCAGATAGACGCTCATCACTTGTTCACTTCATCCTTGCCTCTCTATGATCCCTGGCGGCTGACTCGGACACTTGATTGACCCTTTGATGAATCTTCAAACATTCCCTACTAGGATATTGAGTATTCACCATAGCTTGGAGTCGTAAGATCTGTCTATCAACATGAATCTAACTCAGCGTCTTCGAGGCAGCGAATAAAATACCAAGCCAGTGGACCCATGAAACTCACCAGTGGCATCTATTATTAGGTGACCTCGCCGGGGGACGAATGGCACTCTACCTTCGGTATGTAGGCTACTTACGGTATGGAACTTCTACAAGGGGGCTTCCATACAGGTTCTGGACTCGGTCAACCTCACGCTATACGTACCTACAGGTAGGTAGGTACCTTATTCTTATGATGTCCTTACTCCGTATTACTGTTACAATCGGATTACACCGAGCCTCTAGACAAGCTAGCTACACAAGATCAGAACTCCCTGAAGAATACGTAGCGGGCATTGTAAACGATATAACCCTCCTTGACTTGATCCTGGATCCCCTCTTTTCAAACCACCCCTGTACCTACTATGTAGCGCTGTATTAGCGGTAAGTCTGCTCTATACATACAAATAATGACCACCAGAATCACAAGCCACAGGGCCAGAGCGGGTGCTGGGAAGGACGTGCATGGCTGAGCATGCATCTCCCAGACAAAGATTGAATTCCTTTGAAAAACTGCGTATAGTGACCGACATGGCAGAAGAGTCTCGAAGCCATCAAGCTTAAATAGCCCAACGACTGAGAACACACAAAACAGAATATGAGCTAGAAATCATGATAGCCGAGTCAAATAACCGACTTGTGACCCCACAATCTGCCATTCTAGAATCGAATTCGAAGCAAATGCCGAAAGCTTCTCACAGCCAGTCTAACCAGAAATGACAGAAGTAAAGAGAAGAAGTCGTAGATCCAAAGGGCAAGGGAACAAAGAGACTGTGAGACCGCATGGCGCCAGCTGCACACGTTAGAGAGACCAAAGGGCAAACGGATTCATGAAATCAAGGCAGAGATAGACCGTCCCAAACAAGGTACCTCGGAAAACTCTCAAAGGCAACCGGACTCCAGGTTCGATGCAATAGAGGGTATATAGACGCCCCACGAAAGGACCCATAAACCCTGCCATTCAAGACAGCAATAGCTGA